GAGAAAACTGCACGGAAGTCGCACGACTTGCGAGTTTTGGAAGGAGATCGTGACACGGCAAATGTTAAATCTTTTTTAATTATTTCGTGTCTTTATTATTTATCTTCTGGATAGATTGATAAGAGTTCTTATGATTATTTTATTTATATTTTATCAATCTTTTATTATTTATTTATATTATATCAATCTATGTAATTTTATTATATAAAGGACATCATTTTTAAGATAATAAAGATAACTTGTATTTTTACAATACTTAAAGCACCTGTTCAATGAACGTGTTATAATATTGTTTTTAATTTCGTTAAGAAAAGTAATTCTTACAATAATTTAGTTTAGACACCCATTTATAGTTCATACATTTATATTGGATCTACATGTAATTTCCGAATGCTAAGAAAAGGTTATCCACATAAATCTGTCTCCTTTTTAAATACTTTTGTTATTAAAAGTCGATATGACTTTTCAAAATATTAATATAGAAGAGGAACTTGAAGATCCACAAATTAAAGATTGGAGTTGGTTGTGGACTGATTACAAATACAGATGGAATCCTACTTTAAGAACAGGTGCTGAATTCAACAGGCACCTCATCAGCACCTATGGTGCATCATTCATACATTGTCTCAATGAAGCGTCTTCAAAGAGTTTAGAGAAACTATTTAAGATTAATCTGAAATCGACTATCGAGAAAAAACTTGAACGTAATTCCCATCCGATTGGACTTGTTATGGGAGCACCGGGTATCGGAAAAACTCAATTTCTTTTAGAATGTGTTGACCATATCCAGTATAATGATCTGGAGCTCTTGGAAAACTATTTAGTTGACCTTGTTATTATTACCTTTAATTTTCCATAGTTTGCCATTATTATAATGCCCATGGGCTAAGCCATATTTGTTAGAATATCCATGATGGTAAGCATTGGCTTCATTATACTTTTGCTCAATATCAGTGATTTTCTTTATTCTATCTAAATCATTTTTAATTTCATCTAAGCCTTGAATATAGTGCCTAAAATGGGTTAAATGTTCCTGCTGATTTGCCATACCCTATAAAACTCCCTAGTTTTTTTTTTGTAACAATAATAGATATTTTTTATAAAAAAATGACCATTGGGATAAAAATCAAGATTCCGATGCCTGCTTGGGTTTTCAGTTATTGCATGCTATTTTTGCAGATCCAGTACGTAGGTTTGATAATTTTGTTGCTGATTTAACTGGTGCTGGTTCGAATAATGTCCATATGACACTTGAAAAGGCAATCAAAATAGCAAAGCGTCTTCAAAGAGTTTAGAGAAACTATTTAAGATTAATCTGAAATCGACTATCGAGAAAAAACTTGAACGTAATTCCCATCCGATTGGACTTGTTATGGGAGCACCGGGTATCGGAAAAACTCGATTTCTTTTAGAATGTGTTGACCATATTCAGTATAATTATCCTGAGCTCTTAGAAAACTATTTAGTTGACCTTGTTATTATTACCTTTAATTTTCCATACCATTGGGATAAAAATCAAGATTCCGATGCCTGCTTGGGTTTTCAGTTATTGCATGCTATTTTTGCAGATCCAGTACGTAGGTTTGATAATTTTGTTGCTGATTTAACTGGTGCTGGTTCGAATAATGTCCATATGACACTTGAAAAGGCAATCAAAATAGCATGTAAAGGTTTGGGTGTCCTGGATACAGATAACTGGCTTATAGTAGTAGCCATTGACGAATTCGATCAAATCTTAGATAGATTTGAGGGTGACACTGGCCGCAAATTTCTATCTGAGTTAATTAAAGTTCTTGGTGTGGTTGTATGTCAACCACCTACACAAACCACTGTGATAGGATTACTGGCAGGAACAATGGCAACGACTATGAATGCTATATTCCGTGAATCATATCATGAGACGATGTCCGTGCGTCTTTCTCCACTCAACAGAATTGAGAGAAGAAAGATTTTGTCATCGTTGGATAAATTTCCACAAAATTGGGAGACATGTCAAAAGTTCAGGGATTCTTTAGCTGATGTTGGAGGTCTTCCTCGGCTGTTTGAAAAATTTCTTATGGATTGTCCTTTTCTTCTATGACATCCTTTAGCAAACAAAAAAAAAAATAAAGCTACAGTTCACTCTCTCTATAATGAACACTAAGTAAAATCTCTATAATGAACTTCCCTTTTAATTAATTTCTCTCTCAATAACGAACATCTTAATAAACACACCTTATAATAAAACTGTATATTTTCTCAT